CGGAGAGTGTCTGCAGAGGTGGATAGGCCGCGCTGTGATGCCTGCTGTCAGTCTGTGCAAGGATCCAATACCTCGGGCTGTGTTGACGTAGACAAACACCAGATGAACACAATGTCTGAATGTCAAGTCGAGGCTGAAGAGAGGGTCAGAGAAGTCAATGATGGAGGCACTGAAGTCAATGAAGGAAGAGGGAACATATGAATATAGAGAAGAGGATGGATGAGGGAGAGAAGGAGAGAATAAGTGCAGAAAGCATAAACACACAGTCCATGCAGGATGGGAGAAATGATTGGTACGGGGAGTTAGGGAGTGAGACGGAGTGGAGTGCAGCAGCAGGCATATGGAGCTGGTTAAATCCTTGTCCTGAGTATTGTACCAATTGTGGCAGAGAGGTAGACACAATAGCTGAGCGGTCTCCTGTCGCTTCCATAAACAAGATAAATTGATGGGGCTCCCCCCGCCCACTAACATCCACACTTTGTTTTATTGCCTTCCAAGAGAACGGAATGGAAACTATTCTGGGAAAACAAAAAGAAAACCCTCCGCTAAATATTCCTTCTCCACTCTCCGAGGCTCTCTCAATAGCATCATGGATGAGTGGCAGCATTTGATGCCATTGTCTCATATGAGTAGCTTGTATTAGGAGGAAGCACTTGTAGTCTGGCTCCCATGATGCTGGGATCTAACTAAAAGGGATGTAATTCAATCAGTTAGGTTTAAAAAGCCGCCTCTTTACAATATGATTTCATTATATATTTTTGACATAAGATAGACGAAACATGATGGACCATAAACGGTATTGATTTTGAATACATTTCCTCATGTTTGACAATCTTAGGGATGTTCTCCCTGAATAATATTTTATTATGACAGACAGGCCTGTTTTACAGACACAGCAAGCTTGGAGGAACACAAAGCATGATAATGAAAATGGGATTTGTCAGCCAGTAGTTAGAGAGATTACCGAATCCCACTGCTCTCAGTATGGATTGTAGGATAAAAACAGGAAGGAAAAAATCCTTCATAACCTTCCAGCATTGTGTTGAACTTTCCTACATCCGAGACACCCATTTCAACATTTTCATCCAGGTAAAACTCTGAGAAGAAGAGAACACCTGAGAAACAATCTCATCCAAACATGAAATGACCTTTTAGAAACTGACATTTTAGTGGCGAGATCAAAAAGAAAAACATGTTTATTAAAGTTGCTCTCTGTCTCCTGTGGTATTTATTCGGTGCTTGTCTACTTGTTGATGCAGTGTTGTTAGCGGTGATCTATGCTGCCTTCAGCGGAGTCTGTGATTTAGTGTGAGCTCTGACTCTGACACGGGCCGGGAACGGAAGGGAGGGGTCATATTTAATGGCTGTCTGGCCACCATCCATCTTCCCGACCAATCAATGATGCCACTCAGGCAGATTTTAACCAATCAAAGCAGCATTGTGTCTGGTTTGCATAGACGCATCTCTTTACAGATTCAAAGGAGGTTTAGAAACCATTTGGCCATTGCATACAGTGTAATAAACCTTACGTCGATGGACTTAGGTACAGCCACCATAAACTAGTGGCAGGCAGCAGGTTTAAATTCTGATTTCTGAATTAGATTGTTTCTTTTACTGTCCTTTTTTTGTAGCGGAAGTAAAGAAAACCGTAACTCTGGATGTATTTGTTATTTGAAATGCAATATATGAATGCAGCAGCTTTAACACATGACAAAACTATTATATTCCGCTTCACTCTATTACATTATTTTCATCGAAAAGTGGGCCAACGCTCTCATACTATATTTTTCTAGAAAAAACCCTGTAGCCTAATACGTATCTTTCCGACCTTTTATTTTTTATTTAACCTTTGTTGCTAAAGCTATTTTTTACAGTCCAATTAGCAACATGACACACAAGAGTTGAGCAATAAGGTCTCATTTATATAAAAAGTTATCTTCAAACAAATTCAGATGAAGAAATAAATGTTTAGATGCTAATACGCTAAAAAGCTGAAGCACCCCCCAGGATAGCCATAGCACCCCCAAGAAATGTTTATCTTTTTTTTAATGTGTGAAATTCATAATTTGAAAAAGGATTGATTCGAAAATAATATGCTACAGTACAAGTAACTTACTTCTGGGTCTCTGTGTTTCATTCAAGCTCTGCGTGTGCGTGCACGAGCGAGAGAGAGAGCACGCACCGGTACCGGAGATCGTTATGGTTAGCATCTAGTGCTAGCTACGCTAACGGATATAAGGAGCTTTTTCAACAACAAGGTGGAGGGAGAACTCTCTCCTGTCAGACTGAGAGTCTCAGATAACCTCAGCTCAGGTGAAGTAACTTTAGGACTCTCTCAGTGTTTAGATAGTTAACTTTAGTCTAAGTTATCTCAGTGGGTCTCAAACGGTTTGGTCACGGTTAATGTAAATAAGTATTTCCGAGGCACACGTTTATATGATCCTTATAGGTATAAAACAATAAGAGAATAAATGAAAAACAGGTATGAAATACTATATGACAGTAAAACAAGAACACAGTTTAAAAGGGGAGTGATTTGTAAAATCTGTTTACATTTCTGTTTCATATGGGTGTGTTGAGAGGTTAGGTCCACCCCCCACTTAGAAAAAATAGCACTTTACCCTTGCTTACACCTATATGCTGTGAGCTGATTATCGAGCCTTCGTTGTAACGGTCGCGGGTACACTGTGTGTGTGTGCGTGGGGATTGTTGCAGTAGAAAATTCAACTGTAGCGCCCGGGACATTAATGGGACACCCTTAATGTTTGAGCATCCTCTATGAAACGTCAAGTTACCCAACAGCACCCCCAAAAGAAAATGTCTGGCGCCGCCACTGCTTACATACAACTAGGGATGCCGATACCGATTTTTCCCGATCCGATCTTTATGCAACGCATTAAGAGAAAAAAAAGCATTCAAGTTGTCCCTTAAGGTTATTTTTTTATTTAAATTGGATATTCTATCCAACATGGATATAGCTTCTTTCTTTCACAGCAGCATTGGATCAGTTCAGTTGTGCAGCATTGGATCAAAACAAAATAAAGCTTTCAGTACTCGTTAGCTTACTGCTACAATTAGTTGAGGAACGTCGTAATTCTCTGGGAGACTACGTGGTGCAGTAGCCTAACCCTGTAAGCTGTAAAGTAAACCAAGTATTAAACCAACATTACATCTCTACAGGGTTAGGTACTGGCACTAGCCCTGAGCTCGGGCTAGTGCACTAAAGTTTTCTAGCCTTAGCCTCTGTTTTTTTAGCCCCTAGCCCTAAAAATGAACAAAGAAAAAAAAAAATTTATTGAAAAAGAAATTTAAACATAGTTACAATGTTTTGTTTTATGGTACAAGTTCAGATTTCAGTAGGACTCGGAATCAAAACCAGAGGTTTAATGTCTTGTAGTTGTAATACACAACGAAGAACCCGAACAGAACGTATCTTGACCAACGAATAAAGAGAGTTTAGACCGTGTCTCACGTNGTAGAAGTACTCAGATCTTGTACTTGAGTAAAAGTAGAAGTACTCAGATCTTGTACTTGAGTACAAGTAGAAGTACTCAGATCTTCTACTCGAGTAAAAGTAGAAGTACTCAGATCTCGTACTTGAGTAAAAGTAGAAGTACTCAGATCTCGTACTTGAGTAAAAGTAGAAGTACTCAGGTCATGCACTTGAGTAAAAGTAGAAGTACTCAGATCTCGTACTTGAGTAAAAGTAGAAGTACTCAGATCTTGTACTTGAGTAAAAGTAGAAGTACTCAGATCTGGTACTTGAGTAAAAGTAGAAGTACCAGAGTGTAGGAATACTCTGTTACAGTACACATCCTTAATTCAAAATGTTCCTCAAGTAAAAGTACAAAAGTATGATCATCAAAATATAGTTAAATGTGTTGTTTAGTTAACAGGCTGCACCCTCATTCCCCATCTCAGTGTGAAAGGGTATAAACAACATGTGCAGCTTGTGAAAGTAAACACGTCTTTCAAATATTTTAATTACTCACACTGTCCACTTTAACCCCGGGTGGAGATTCAGAAGCACGATGACCCCTGAACGCATCGCTGAGGGGTCAGATGTTCAAACCTCCACCTGGACCACACGTGCAAACCCTGAGAAAAGAGAAGTGTGTGTGTGTCCCAATAAAAAGGGAGGTGTGTCTTTTAATTTCCATTCGGGAAAATGTCACAATAACAGACCTTTAGTGGTCTTTACCGATATCAGTAAAAATATCCTTGAAACCCATTGGATAACACATTAGGTAAACAAAACAGATTTCATTAAGGCCGTTTTTTTTAATGAAAGACTTTGTATACCATCTATTATTGGTATTAAATTGTCTCGTGAGAATATCGAGTGTTAAAATAAGCAGGATAAGAGCTAGTTAGCCGTTAGCCGACACTAGGCAGCAGTCTAATGGCTAAATAACAGAGCTAATGCTAACGGAGGATACACTGAGTGTCTCCTCGGGCAAGACCCTTCACCCTAAATCGCTCCTGTGGGTTTTGTCCACAGCATTGATGAATTACATGTGTGATATATTTCATGGAAAGCACTTTGAGCACTTGGAAAAGCGCTAAAAGATATACGAATAATTATTATTAAAATGATAACCTGCATTTAGTACTTCGCTAGATAACAGAGCTAACAGCTAATGCTAACTGAGGTCATTTAAAGGGAAATGTAATTGTGTGACAAGTTCAACCCTTAACTTCTATGGTAAAACACAAAGAAAGTAAAGCTTTGTTAAAACGTTAAGACAACAGAAGCTATTTTGAAACTGGATGCAAACCTGTTTCTGTGAACACAAGTAATCATTAGTACTAATTATCAACGTTTACCTTGTTGTGATATCTCGTTTTAACAGTTACTTTATATTTTTTAATTATCACTCTCACTGTTGATGTCCTTTAAACTCCTGAATTTCCCTACAGGGATAAATAAAGGTCCATCTTATCTTATCTTAGTAAAAGGTCATAAATATTCGTGGAAAAGACAAAAACGACAGGATTAATCCAACAGAAAAGGCAACAACTGATCCATTTATTCACCTTATCAAATATGTACAAGCTAAAAAAAGTGTTGCCTAACAGGTCAGTCAACATGCCAATGATGGGGGAAACAATCTGAATAAATGATGCACATGTTCGACTACAATGACATAAAACCGCTACGTAAGCGAGAAAATACTGGAACAAAACTAAAGATGAAGTGAAGGATGCAAAAGTCCGAATTTTCTCCAAATTTCACTTTCAAATGAAGATATACAATCCAGGAGATAGAGTCTTTAGATGTGAGGGTATTTGTTGGTTGGTTGGTTGGTTTGTAAAAAAACGTACATTGAGAGTCCATATTGTCCGCTTTCTGATCTTTCTCACATTTACAATGAGCACAGGGAAGGGCTGGGAAACACACCGATGTTATCTCGACATCTGGATACAAGAATGGATAACACAGATGGATTTAAGATATCGTAAGAGGTGTTTTTTCATGGTTTGAGTAAAAAAAATCCACATTACTGATGAGCTTTTATCTACATTTCCATCGTGTGACTCAAATATCGATAGAAGAAGTCCGAAAACGTCCCGATATCTGAGTTTTCCTCACATCTCCCAGCCCTACACTCAGGTGTTGCAGCTTCCTGTTCCTCTTGTAGTGGAGATCATTGCTTGGCCTTCTTCAGGATGGTTCCCACGGCGGAGATGACGGTGGTCTTGGTGCCGCTGGCGGTGGTGGTGACGGAGACGACGGCCGGTAACGAGGAGCTGGTGGTGATGGCGGCGGGCTGGGAAAGAGTCACGGGGATCGCTGAGTCCCATTTACTCTTCCTCTTCTGGGCCTCTGAGGACAAACAACACACAGGAGGGATTCACGTGAGATCAGGAAGGAACACGAAGGGCTGGTTAAGGATTTCAAATATGTATTTTTCTGCTGTTAGTTGGCCATCAAAACAATAACAGCACAACAACACATAATGGCGTAGCGTATCATTGCAGTTAGCTTCTCCTGGTTAGCATTAGCTATTGTTTTCACAATAACATTTAACCGGCACACATACATGTAAATATGTATATATGACCCAAATATATGTTCAATTAATTCATTTCTTATTTTAACTTAAAGGTGGGGTAGGTCATTTTGGAGAAACCAGCTCGAGTGGCTAGAATTTGAAAATACACAGCCGGAACAAATCTGCCTCTTCCTCACAGAGCCCCTCCTCCAACACACACCAACGCGCACATGACCAATGAGGGCACGAGATAAGTTTGTGCACAGATGGAAGGCTGACAGGCAGGTAGGCCATCCAGTTACTTTAGCCGGGCCGGCTCAGATGATTGGTCGTGCTTTTTACAGCGCCACGGCTTCCAGAGGTGAAATGTTTTAATGTATTTTTTGTCAAAGCACTTCAGATATTAATTGCTATCGGGATGTTAAGAGCATTCCATGGAATATAACAACAAGTGTATCTCGAGCCGGTTTCTCAAACTTACCCACCCCACCTTAAACTGTATATAAAATTGTATTTTATTTTTGATATTTATCTTTATTAATCTTTAATTTTGTGTGATCTGTGCTGTCCTGTTTTTCATTCTCACCCTGTTGCTATTTAAACTACTGAATTTCCCCACGGAGATTAATAAAGGTCCATCTCATCTGTTCTTATCTTAAATAAACTATTTTTCAGGATCTTTTAACTGGATCATCCACAGAGGTTCCCCTCTCTCCAAAACTAGCAGATATTGTAGGTAAAATTGGTTTAAACACTGAAAAAAAAGCAGTTTTCAAGATAAAAATGTGTAATTTTCATGGGATACTGGGCGTAAGGGCTACGAGCTAAAAGCTAACGTAACAATTGTTCCTCTAATAATATAAGAACCAGTTGTCCAGAACTTTTTTTTTCAGATGCCAAATTATCCACAAAGATCTTATTCTCTCAAAAACAAACAGACACACTCATTAAAAGCAGAAATAAAAATTCACTATGTTTGTGTTTCTGTAAAATAAGAGAAAGGGGCTAGGAGCTAAATGCTAACGTAACACGCTTGTCTCTGATAACGTAAGATCCAGATGTCCAGGACGTTTTTACCGGGACAAAAACAACAATATGTGAGTCAACAAAACGCTCTTCTTCTGAGATGCAAATAAGATATGGATTTAATTATTTGGGGACTTAAAACATTCTTTAAAATTGATGGACTTAAAAGGACAGTGAACTCAAACGTCAGGCCAGGTGATTTATCTGCGTTGCTGTGTTGGATGTTTACCTGTAGACGTGGTGGAGGTGTTGCTGCTATTGGTGGAGGCCGCTGTGTTCGAGGGGTTGTTGCCCTTCTTCGTCCCCGTGACAAACTCAATCTGTGAAACACACTGAATACTATAAAAGTTTTGTTTTATGTGAAACCATTTTGAAACAACAACCGCATCAAGGGCACATAGGTCTCTGCTATTATTATGTATCATAAAGACTTCACTATGCAACACTAGTGCTCCTATTGGCTAGCGCTTCAACACATCTTAGTGATAGGCGAAGGGGCGGGACATCTCTATGAGGTGGACCAATCACAACAGAGCCGGCCAGCTAACCAATCAGAGCAGACTGGGCTCTGGTTTCAGACAGAGGGTGAAAAGAGGTGCTGCAGCACAGACTGTATGAGAACAATAAAGAACTTTTCGAACATTAAAGCATGGAGACATGTAGAGACACTACATACTGATATACACCTGAACATCAGCAGGAGAGGACTCTTTAAAGTAGAGACACTACATACTGATATACACCTGAACATCAGCAGGAGAGGACTCTTTAAAGTAGAGACACTACATACTGATATACACCTGAACATCAGCAGGAGAGGACTCTTTAAAGTAGAGACANTAAAAGCAATTGGGCTATTTTAATCTCACACACACACACACACACACACACACACACACACACACACACACACACACACACACACACACACACACACACACAGATACACACACACCCACACACACACACACACACACACACACACACACACCGTTTCTTGTAGCCCTCGGAAGGGTTTTGGAGGTTGATGCCTAGGTGAACCTGAGTTGTTTGGCTTTCTTGTCTGCAGCAGCGAATGTTTGAATGAATCAAAGTGGGTCGTCACCGTCGATTTTCTCTTATGCTCCAACACACAGTTGCACGGGGTGCAGAATAGTTTCCCCCCAGGAAATGTTCGTCGGTAAATGAGATGGATCAGATTTTTTCATCTTGGTGTTTTCTCTATCGTGTGAGCTCCACACGTTCACTCTAAGGTGTTGTTTACATTCTGTGATGCGTGAGCTGATGACGTCAAGACGAGTTAAAAAAATGTTTTCTCAACTTTGTGTGGAAAAATGAGGGGATTATGCGGCCTTTTGATAAATATGCGGCCTTTTAAAAATCTGCGCCATTTTGCTGATTATGCGGTAAATTCTGCGATCGCAGAATCGCGTTTTTCTGGAGGGTCTAACAGGTATTTTCTGTGTTAGAGTTTTACTCGCTACAGGGTGTACTTTGTGAGGGTTTTTGACTTTGTA